CCGCCATTAAATCCTAAAAGAAGAAGAAGAAGAAGAAGAAGAAGGACGGGGGACACACGCTCTGTAGACAGTGAGTGTAGTGGTACAGGCCAGGTACACAGAGCGACAGAGAGAGACGGGGTTCACACACACACACACACACAGGATTTTTCTGAAGAACAGCAGCAGTTTAACTGTTCAGGACAAACAAGGGACTCATGAACAACTATCACTAAACTAAAAACACAGCTGTGGATCATTCAGCTAACAACACAGTGTTAAGAATCACGGGGTAATTTTTATAAATTCAACTATTATTTATCTTGTGGACTATATGTACACATCTTTTATGTGAAATATCTTATTCAGGTCAGCACTAAATAAACAATAACATGCATTTTGTATGATCCCTCTTATTTTGGTAAAATAATTCACATTTTGCAGATTCTGAAAGGGGGATGTAAACTTTTGACGTCAGCTGTATATATTTAAGAAAAACTTGGTATGTTTATATGGTTTGGTGTGTGTGAGCGTGAGAGAGAGAGAGTGTGAGTGAGTGAGTGACACACACACACACACACACACAGGTGTTGAGTTCTGTCTCTCTCAGAACATGAAGAAGAAAGACTCCGGCGGTGCAGCAGGGAAGTCTCGTTTGATGGGCGGTGCTCTGCTTCGTCCTCCACCTGGAGTCAAATCCTCCGCCCACTGCTCCCCCCGGCTCAGGTGAGAGCGACACGTCTGCATACTTATCAATCCCATCAGTGGGTGTGGCTAACACAAGCTCCTCCCCTTTAGGGATAATACTGGACGTCAGAGACGCCGCCTCTGCTGTGGCTCCGCCCTCTCAGGACCTGTGGGGTGATTTCACAGCTGCAGGCTCAGGGTCAGTATGAAGTCAAACAATTAATCGCATCCAAAATAAAAGTTTTTGTTTACATAATATATGTGTCCCTGCAGCACAAAAGCAGTGTTAAGTCGCTGGGGTATATTTGTAGCAATAGCCAACAATACATTGTATGGGTCACAATTATACATTTCTCTTTTATGCCAAAAATCATTAGGATATTAAGTAAAGATCATGTTCCATGAAGATATTTTGTACATTTCCTACCGTAAATATATCAAAACTTAATGTTTGATTATTTGATGACTCCGGCAGCATGCGTAGAAACTACATCTGAGGTGAGACACTTGACGGCAAACTATATCAATAATTGTTATTTTAATTCATTTTCAAAAGCAATAATGTTAAGGAGCAGGTTACATACAGTTACGCCGGAAGCAAAGAAAACAGGACTCGGTATGCAAAGACCTTTAGTCTCTTGTAATGTAGCTAGAATTGTTTTAATACACATTAAAATGAGTTGAAATGTTTAAAGCCTATTCTATAAGAAAGTTTCATGTTTGTAGACTCTGTTTAAAGGTACAGTACAACAATGTTTTATTAATAATTTGCAAAAATAGTTTGGAACAGCGAGTGTTACAGTAAACGGTGAGTATGTCGAAGTCTGCGTTCAGTAGCGTTCTTCAGGTGATGATTGACGACAGATCAGTGACCTCTGACCTGAGTTCGAGTCTGAAGTACACAACAACGACAGCACTGGATAATAATACAAACGTTCCTCTGCACCAGTGTAACCCATACAATAGCACCAGCCAAATATCCATCCAAACCAATCTCATGAAAGTGCGTTTCAATGCCACGATGTTCTGTTTGTATTTGGCGTACTATTTATATTTATAGCAGAAATGGACTTCTGCGTGCATGCGATGCGCAACTGGTAGGTTTAGGGGTGTGGGGTGCGTATCATATGCATGCAAGAATTGTGTATTATATACATGCCAAACACGTCAGTTTCTGCGTAAAAAAATAGCACGTAATATACAAAAATATTTGGTCATTTTCATGAGACCGGGCTCAGATGCTGGAGAAACAGATGAAGAGGGAAGGCAACTTTCCCAGTTAATCTGGTTTATTGTAATATCTGAAGCAGAAATCTTTTGTAACATAAACGTCTTTATCATCACTTTTGATCAATTGAAAGCATCCTTGCTAAATAAAAGTATTAATTTCTATAAT